AAAATGAAGTACGTTAGGAAAATTAAAAATTCATTAATATCAAGTCAAATTAGGGAAATTTATGTTAAACACAGGTGACAACTCGGTGTCACCTGATATTTAATAAGTGCTGCACAACATATGTATCGTTTTGCTCGCATTCTAGTTATTATCATGGCCCGTAAATTAATGTTTTCCGAATTCGTTTTGCATTCGTTAACAGTTTTTTCCCTTGTCTTTTCTCATGCAGGCTTTAATGAGCCGACGCTAATGAGTCATGCAATTGTTGTTGCAACCAATTTAACTGTCCATTTTAATTAATTAATTATTAAATCATAGCGCGCCAACAGATAGGAAGGACAAGAGGTGTATGTTTCACTAAAATATATTAAATACATTTTACAATGTACCTACTCTGTGTATTGTTTTCCTAGAATTCAGTCAGATTTTTCGTTCCGTTATTTATATGTGCAACATTCTTATGTCCAGCATATCGGCATAAAAAGTTTTTCAATAACCGTTTAACTTTTTCGATTGTTGAAAAAAGCGCGGGCAGGTTGTGTTTGAGAATCCGGTTCGGGAAGCACTAGAGCCACTTCTTCCGCCGGTAAAGGCCTTTAATCAAGACAAAATTGATCCATTACCGGCTATCAACGCTGTTGTCGTAAATGCCTTCGGATTTTATATCCCTAATAAGTGTATCGGCCGGCACTATATTGCTCATATCCGAATTAAACGCGGCCCCTAATAGCTCATTTATATTGGGTCCGAAGATACGACAGGTTCTGATTTATTGTCTGACCGAACAGGTGAACCCTAAGGCCCCTGGTTTGAGTCAAAATATTGCCCAGTTTCCACTTAAAAGTTTGGAACCAAATAGGGATAACAGATGTTTGTGTATTCTATCCAGATATCCTCTCGCACCGAACCACATATATCTAGATCGTTATTTTACAAGAATTTGGTCTTGTAAGGGTGTAAATGACAAGATCCGTTCTAATTGACGTCGCATACATCCAAAACCCATACATCACCACTATCACCGTCTTCGTCATACCCACGCTCTGTTCCCACCGACGCACTCGGTTATCTCTCTCGTAGTGGCGCCACGTCTGTACCCTGGGTGTCACACCCACTTGGAACAAGTGAACCGGCAATAATAAATTGGGGTTCCATTTTGTGGTTGTAAATTTTTTTCGAGTTTTGGCCGCCAGAATGAATGGGCCTCGAGTATGGCCCAGAGGGAAATCAAGAATTTAAATAATTATATCATGGGTGCAACATATCCTAAGTTGGGTCATGAATTTTATTGAAATTCTCTTTCGGTCGGTTCTTTGCTCAGCCCCAACCGACCGACGGGAGTGGATGTTTTTGCCCAAGACTGTTGATCACGTCTTCGATTAACCGGTCGGGTATACCGACTAATTTTACCCATTACCAGCGATTCGATATTAAAGCGAATTATTGCAGCCCATACCAATGCCTATTATGTTTCATCTTATGGGTGCTGTACTTTCATACAAGACGCACGCAACGAAATTTCAATGGTCTTTAACTAACTCCAGGGAAAAAATCAAGAGGCACCAAGTCAGGGCTAGTAGGGGGCCATGGGGTAAGACCAAGTCGTCCAATCTAGATATCAAAATTTTCACTAAACCAGTGCAACCGGATCTTCATTGACACCATGTTCTCTTCTTTTTTCTACATTCCTAAATGAGGTTCGAGAAGATACACCTCGCTGAGGAAACAGCGCATTATATTATTTCCTTGCCGCCGATGGACGTTTTTTTCTTTTGGTATAGTAAACGCAGAATATCGCATTGTTTTTTGAAAACTGGCATGGAAGGACTTGATTGGATTGAACCTTTCTTACGGTCGAGCCACCAAGATCACCCGATCAGGCACCTCTAAACTATTTAATGGGGAAAGTTGCACACAATCTAGAGCGCCGCGAAGAGTTGAATGAATGAAACTGAGCGTAGAAACCGTTAGGTGAAACCGTTTAGCACGGAACGACCGTTCAAGTATCTTAATAAAGACCATGTAAAGCGACTCTACCTCCCTGGTCGCGGTTTTCCACCGCTAATTGCCAACAAATCAAAGCAAAGATGCCGCAAAATTTATATATGGTAGGCAAACGTGGCCGCAAATGCGATATGCACGATCTTAATCTGCAGCCACTGTCGCCAATGTCTTTGGTTACCGCCGTACTGTCGCACAAAAAAAAATGTCTTTCTCTCGAACTTCTCCTCTGCTTTCGAAAGCTAATTAGCCACCACCCCGATAAAAATGTCCGAAAGAGTTTCCAGTTTAGAGAGCAATAAGTTCGTCAAAACTGTCCTCCCTTAGTTTATGCGTTCCACATTTGCTGTGACATTCAGAAGAGCGGTTTTTACCATAAACATCATTCGAAAATTATTTTACGAGGCAAGTCGAAAAGTTATGTGCGTCTTTGAAGTGCGTCGCGGCGCATTAATGTCATCCCCCATCTGGTTTCCAGTAGCCGCAGCCCGAAAATTACGAATGTTAAACGTGCAGTAATGGGTTTTCTAATAAACCTCCAGTTATAAACCGACGCAATAAATTCTTAGTGCTTCTTGAATTAAGCGACGAAAAAATTATCGTTATTCATCATGTGTAAATCAGCTTTTCTTTGCACATAAGTACGAGCGATTTTGTGCGAATAAATAGAGCGCTAGACCATATTTTTGCGATGAAAACGCTCATCTGGTACACTCTGAACGAAAGCTTTTCAAAATAGTGCATATTTTCTCTTCAGACACTGGTTAAGAGGAAGAAGGCAAAATGGTCTGGAACTTAACGAAATCCTGATCGACGCTCAGAGAGATCAGTTTCAATGCTGCTGAAGCCTCTGAGACCGAAATTATTTTTCATCAACTTCAGAAACTATATTTTCAAAGCGTGCTTTTGTTCATTTTAGTGTTGTTTTCACTGATAACTTTGTTGTTTTTTCACTTTTAGTTACTCCATACTTTCTCCTACAACAGATTTTCTTCGTCGATCACTTTTTTATGCAAAAATTTGATGGCATCATTTTACTCATCGACATGATACTATGAAACATGAGTTGCGTTGAGCCAAAGCTTCCAGATCACGTCAGTTTCATCGTCGTTGTATTTTTGGTAAACCTTTGAACGGTTTTGTCAAAAACGCATTATAAAATTGGAAAGAGTTCTCAAAAACAACAGTGTATTTGATTCGCACGATTCGAGCTTGATGGGTGAAAATGTCCAAAGTTGAAAGGTTTATAAATATTCTTCCCTTCAACTATACCTTGATGTTAAAGGGTTTGCCAGGGCTGTTAGTGTTTGACCCTGTCCGGATCAAAACGGTCTTAATAGTTGCTTATGAGTACTCCGTTTTCAATTGCCACCACGATCATTTTCTCAAAAGTATCAATTTACTTGTATGGGCATCACAGTGGTTTGTTATGTTATAGAATTGACCAATTTAGAGTCTTCCCAAGTAAGTAAACTTGAACTTTGGACCTTGTTTTTCACCTTGTATTTGAAGGTTTGAAGAGCACATTTTAGAGACTAACCAATATGTGAAGTGAAGCCTATTTTGAAACACCCTGTACTAAATGTAAAATTTTGATTTTTTTTCGGTTACAACCAAAGTGTGGTCTGGTCTCTGGTATATTAAAAGCGAGTCTAGATTTTTTAGGAAAAATATGTAAATCGGCCATTGTCTGACGCTTTTAATAGAAACAACCTGAAAAATAAGCTTCGGTATTCATGAAAATAGCACGGACATGAAAAAGGAAGGTCCGCATCGAATAAATCAGAATGCATACAGTTGTGTGTCTATTAAATCCTTTCAAACGGGCACATTCTGAACGTTTCCGGGGAAAATTGCAAAGGCAATGCACGTTTAGACTGGACAGTGTCGTTGCGATTTTATCGGGACTCTGAAATGATACGTTTAATAATAGTCAGAGTTGGTTGATGAATGTATATTGATACAGATATATCTAACCTGAATTCGCTTGTAAAAAGCCACACAGATGCAATTTTATTAATTGCGATTCCTGTTTGGTCAATGAGGACGGTTATTCGATTAGCGAATTTTATGGGGCCTGTTTTATGTAAATGCCGGTTTAAGGCACTAAATCTCCCTTAAGCGACACTAGAAAATCCTCTAAATCAATCAGATGTGAAACCTTCATCCGACTAAATGCCCCAGACGAGTATGAACACATGTATCTTCGACTTCAACACCTCTTAAAACTTATTTTCGACTACTTCGCCTGTCAAGTGGGGGATTAATTTGGAAAGCGTTATTCTGGATCGGCGAAACGGCACAACAGCTGCGATTTCGAATATTCCGCGTTTTGAGGATGTGCAACTGCCTGTGTATCCCGAATTTTTCACTCTCGCACTCAACACGCTATGGGCGGTTTACACTAATTTTGCTTGACTCGATTCGTTCCATGTTAAGTTGATTAATAAATTTTTGGGATGTGCTATGCGACTTACAATGTTAGATGAGTCGGCTTGATTGATTAGCACCGAAATCGCCTGCATGGCGGGACGATGATTTAAAACCACAAATATTTTGCTTAGAAATTATTCGAAACTCCATGAAATTTGAACAGAAGTACAAGGCTTCTTGTACTTCTTGATGTTAACTCAAATTTTTTTTAATTGAAAGTGAATGTTCCTGAAAAAAACAGTCGTAAATTTTCTCTTGTCCCAAATATATGCTGGTGTTGAAGCGATCTCGACTCGCAATTGAGGCAGAAGAAAAGGTTCGCATTAACATTCAGATTATGAATCAGAAAATGGGCCTTTGAGAAGAAGAAACAATGTAAAATATCTGAACACTACATTGTAAATCCCCGTCAAATGAAATGCAAAGTCTGTTGAGACTTCAGTTGGCCGCAGCTATAAATAGCATAACTTCAAATTGTATGTGCCAATCAGATAATACTATTGTTTGTAACTGATCCCAGTACTCATAAGTAAATGAATAATGATAGTTTATTGCTATTGTTTCAGGACCCCTTCACGGTGAGTGTTCAAATTCATTGACGACGGTTGGTAAGCTTAGTTTAGTTTTTTAATGAAAAATATAACTTAAATTATCAGAACATGACGAAAAAACATTTGATGCAATTGACTTGACATGAGTTAATTAGGCTCATTTCTAGTTTGTACTTGTTGTGACCTGATTTTAATTCTTCAAACTTCCACTTCACTTGCTTCCAATTCCTTTCGTCTGTTTATTAAATTGATCTTTTTCTTAATGTTTTATAATTGTTATTGGTTCCTTCTTTGTTTCTGTTAAATTTTTCATAGCAAGAATAAACCATGAACCTGTTGAACCATATTCAACTTCTACTTGCAACGTTCTCAATGGAAAATTGGCCTTTTCTTATTCACATCATCAGCAACGGCCGAAAAATCATAAGACAAAGAAAATCAGGGAAATTGGTATTTAGTATTCTGATTTCTATTAACTGCTTTTATTATGGAATTAATCCGAAACTCAAAATTTAATTATTTAGGCCCATTGAACTAGTTTATGTGTTTGTACTATAATTCTAGTAACTTCTTTATTGCCTGATGTTATTAAACTGAACTTTTCCTTCCTTTTATGTTAAGCACTCCATATATTTATTTAGTCTCAAGAGGGTTCTTTCCTTCATTTCGTCAGTTCTATTCTTATAATCATCAGGTCCATTATTTCTTCATTTGTATGGAGAAACAGATTACGAGTTCGCCCTTTGTGACTGCTTCACTTTTTCTGGCAAGAAGAAGCAAGAAGCTGCAACCATTAACTTTTGAACCATCTGTATTCTGTCTGTGATATTTATTTTTCTTCATATTTCCAGTTTCACTTTCAATGTTCTAATTTATTGCTTTCTTCGTAACAATTTAAGTGCAATTAACGGAGCAATTTTTTTGGGTCACTTCTTATTCTCTAAGCATTTTTCTGCAGCAAAAAATATGTACTTGTGTACTTTGTACTTATTCGAACTGATTTGATTTGAAAAATCGTAGAAATAGGACTTAGACTGGTCAGCTAAATCTAGGTTTTTTAAGGAAAGCTTTTTTGCCACCTCTTTTATTCATAATCTTCCGACTAATGACGATTTTCAGATATTATTTGCACCAAACCAGTTTCTTCTTAAATCTCTCCAAAATATCTTCTTCTGCTGGTCTCCTTTGTGATAACTTCAGCTTCATGCGCTTTAATTTTTCGCTCGGGTTTGGCCTTCTGCTGCCCATTTCGTTCCTGATTTGTATCTGTTGGGGTCAGTGTTATATTGTTGAGTTTTTCTCAAAAAGTTTTCATGCCATCATCACTTGAAGGCTTGCTAACATACACGGAAGAAGGAAAAAAGTTCTGCAGGTAGTCCATGAATGAGCCCACATTATTTGCCAACAATCATCATTAACCAACCGACTCTTATAGTTAGAAGAATGATATTCTTGCAACAAATGGTGGTCGCTGCCGGTTGTTTACTTAAATCCCCATCAAACAGGATACCTGCCAATTTCGCCTAAGTATCCGCTTTCTGCCATTTGATCATTATTTGTCCGTTTTTTTTGTGTGATTGCGTGACTGCACCACAAGCTGAACAAACTGACTGATGATACTGGTAAGATAAGGGCGATATAAAAAGGTGTTCAGTCAGTTTTAAGTGAACGATGTAACGCACCAAATAACGAAATGGCACGACGATGATTAGCGTTGATGATGAATGATGATACCGGTGGGCGGAGTTCACAAATAAATGCGATAAAAGGGATGAGGAAAGACTGGGCGGACATATGGGGGTTTTGTAATTTCTTATTAATTGCGTACTAATATTATTTTCTCTCTTGAATTACATGTGCTGTTTTCGTCCCGTCACCGATCCCGTAACAGGCGGTAAGTATTTATTGAATCACACCAAGCTGTTTGAATGATGCCTTGGTTAAGTTCAAACGCATTAAGAAAAAAGTCGCCAGACGCACCGCAGGCACGCACTTTCTCCCCATAAAACCACAATATTTCGGTACAGGCTGTTCGTTTTAGGACCTCACGCTGATCGCTCAGGGCCCCCTGTTGCAGTGGGCCCCTTTTTCTTAAAACGGCCCCGGCTAACTCTTATCAGATCGCAGCATGCGTTGACAATTTTGCCGGCTATGTCGTTTTTTCCTAACCGACTTAACTGTTTTTACTCAATATTGGTCATATCAAAGAAGGCGAGTGTTCAAAAGGGGTTTCCACATTGCACATTCGGAGAAGAAGAAGCTCGATATCTCATTCAGAAGCAAATACTTATTGTTGGTTTACAGAAAACTCCTGTTTGGTAAACCAGGAGCTTCATCTGATGGATCAAAATGTAAAAATGCGCATTCTTTCATTTTATTTTTCGCTTTTCAGTGCGTTTCATTGCTAAAGAGTCATGTAGAACTCACATTTTAACACCATATGAATATACAGGATCTTAAAGTGCCGCTCTTTACAGTCGTCTAATGAGCCAAAAAAGCGTTTTTCTACATGAAAAACACATAAAATGCGAAAGAAGATAAGATATTGCGTATCACGAGAAGAAAGATGGGTAAATGTAAGTCTTCAGTGGAGGATTTGATGGCGGAAACTGATCAGCAATCAGCATCAGTTGCAACTCTTAATGCAAGAAGAATAGAGAAGGTGAAGTAACTGCATGGCAAGAACTGAAAGCAACGGGACTCAAGTGCGAATACAAATCTAGTTTAGTCGATTAATTGAATAGTGAAGTATTTTATACATCCGCTGCAGAAAAAGAAGAAAATTAAGACCTCCCAAAGCAGTGTAAGGGAGCAGGAGAGAAGTGAACTGAAATAATCCCTGGATTGAATTCTAACGCTTTGGGGCGATCGAATCTAGAAGGACGGAAAATCGAATGATAAGATATAATAAGAGTCGACAAAATATATATATTCAAAATCCCCCGAAAGACCAAAAACAGAAGGTTAATAGAAGGAAAGAGGGACTACGAGCAACAGCAATTCGAAGAGATAAAAATCAAATGACAAGAGAGGTACAAAAAACATAAGGTTAAGAAGACAGAAATAGGGAATACGAAGAACACGAAGCGATGCAAAAATCGTTTTTCTGTACTGAGAAAAGCTAATGTTGAGCTTATAATTCCTAAAGCATGGCACAAATATTTCAAAGATCTTAACATCAAGGATGAGAAAGAACCCAGAGAAGACCTGTGTGTATATGGAGACGGATTTATAAGTGTCTGATATTCAAATTTCGCTTTCTGGGTCAAAACTACTCGAATTTCCTCACTCACGTTGTGACGACTGAATCGA